AAAAAAAAAAAAAAAAAAGAAAAAGATCGCCGGACGGAAAAAAGTGGCACGACCGTTCGAATATTGAATGTTACGCCCTTTTTTCTTGGATCGGGCGAACCTCCGTCGGACGATCTTCATGCTCGATAACTTTGCACGTTCGCGCCATCGCCGCGGAGACAAGAGACCAGCGGGGAATCCGACATTTATTCGCGCAATTTCGCGTTTCGCGTTTCGCCCCGAGATTTTTACAAAAGATAAGAAGGCAACTTCCTGCTCGGTTTTTGCCGTAATAATAATTTGGCCGGCGGTCGTGTTGGTCTGTCGCTGTTCTGGCCTCGGAGTAATTTCGGCCTGATCTGCGAAGCCTGGAACAGGAAGCGACACTCTTTTTTACCATGTAGCGCCAAAATTAAGGCGGAGCGGAGAATAAGAAAGAGGGGAAACGGCGAAAGAGAGTGCGTGAAAGAGCGAACAAGGCGAAAGAAAGAGGGGAAGGGACGCATGCGACAGGATTTTGGAGGAGGTGAAATAATAATTGCCGATAACGCCGAATAAATCGTTGCACCGGTGTCGGATATCGTCGATGAATAACGAGGGATCGACACGCGAGAATTTCTCCCCTTTTTAATGTAATTCCATCGTAATAACGTGGCGAAAAGTTTGTCGCCGCTGTTAAAAAGGCCTCCTTAAATCATCCTCCACCCGTGAGCTCTTACGTCTCGCGTGTCCCTTTTATTACCATGTTTTTGCGACGTTCTCTTCGCAGCATCTCTTTCGTATCCATTTTCCCTCTTCGTAATCACCGAACTGAATCGCTCGACGGGCGAGTGGCCCAACCCGTAATTTACCTAACTGTAAAGGATATCTCGTATCGATGCTCCGAGTGCGAGAATTTTCACGATTTCAAAAAAATATGTCAAGAACTCGCCGGTTTCCACGTTTTATCGAATCTTTCGATTTTACTGGCATCGATTCGGCGATTTTTGAATCTTATCGAAAGCGCTTATTGCGCGAATTTCGCCTATTACGCTGAATTTATCTCGACGCTTGTTGTTATCCGCTTCCGCTTGCTATCCGGATGGCATATTATTTGATTCGAGTAAAGACGAAACTCGTTTACAACGGACTGCCATTTACATCGATGTACAGCGACGTCGGTTCGTCGGAGGGTAAATCGCAGAAATCTGCGTGAGATTTCATTTTCTGGCAATAATTATGCCGTTAAGTAATTGTCGGCTACCGAAAATGATCGGGGAATTAGGGTGTTCTCGCGGTCGGTAAGCCACCGCTGATTTATGGCGGGTTTAATATCTCGAAGCTGTTCGGACCCTTTCCCTCGTTCGGCCGTTTCAAAGAGAGCAGGGAACGTCCGGAGGCGGCGTAACTCAAATTTTATTCCGCGCGTGGTTAAACGCGTGTCGACTTCGTCCCGTCCGTCCTCGTACGATCCTCAACGCGTCGATATAAAATTGGTGATCGATCGACGTTTTTATTTCCGGGTGTTACCGTTTTACGATCCTCGGCGGTAATTTAGTCGTCACGACCTCGTCGTTTGCTCGATTCCGTCGGTTTCTTGGTAAAACGATGAAAAATATCGAAAGTCGAGTGGCTGAAGCTAGAACCTCGAAGAGTTTTTAGGCAACTTGGAACTTGGAATTCGAAATTGGGAATCTATATAAATCTGTCTATATAAATTTCGTCGGGATATCGTACGAGTACGAATAACACGAAGGGCTGCTTAACTTAAGAAATTTAAATTTTAACTTAAGAAATTTATCTTTAACTTGGAAACGAAGACAACGAGACACGAAAGTGAAAATGCTTTCGCTCTTGGTATTCGTTGTTCGTAACGTATCTTTCATCCAGATATTTGATACGTCGATTTTGTCAAAGTTGACTTTTCTCACGTTCTCGACTCGTGCGATACGTTTTACCTATTTCTTGCCCTCGCGATTATTCTTCCAGAGACGACGTAAGGATCGAATTTATGCGAGAATTAGCATTCTCGCGTCTTAAAATATCCGACATTTAAGGACTCGAACTATACACGCTATATTCAAATGATTTAAATCGTCTCTACCGAAAAGTGGCGTCTGCGTTAAAGACGAAAGTACGAGCGATGGAAGCGCGTATGCGAACAGTCGTCCCGCTAGCGAAAAGGTCGATTTTATTATCCGGATATCGTTAATTTAAGCAGCTGCGTGACCGTGGAATCTGAGAAACGATCCTCCATCAAAATTTCGGCCGTGAAACGAATTATGATAATTTCTCGGCCGATTCGGACGAGCCTCCTGCTCTGCCTCTTTTGATCTCGGAACGCGGGCGACGATTTTATCGATCGTACGAACCGCCTCGTTTCTCACTTCTGTCCATCGACGAAGAGCAAAGTGGCCTATAAAAGCGTAAGAGACTCGAAAGGATATCGAAAATCGACCACGATTAAATAACTTTGAAAGCCTGGTCGGAATCCGTCGATTCTTGACCGGATCGCTGACGTTATTAAAAGTCATCAAGGACCGTTCGCTTGTTGCGAACGGTTATTAGTAATCGCTTCGCTTCCCGTTTTAAATGACGCAATTCCAATGTAACATCTTATTTCGTCATATTTTCTACGGCAGATGCGTTCTGCAAATTAATCGAACGGTTACGGGGTTAATTCGCGTTGGACACGCGTAGAGGAAATTAGGCGCGTTTATACCAACGAAGCAGATTAACTTTTAAACGTCGATAGATTTGCTCCGCGTTTCGCGGATAGCGTGCCTTAGTTTTACGATACGAAAGGGAATAGAGGCGATGCGATAGAATAATGCTATTGAGCTTAATGATTCCGAACCACTAAGCGCACTTCTGTCAGACCTTGCGCGTTTCTGCTTACAACGTATTTGTCAATCTCTATGATAATCCCGGCTTGTGATATTTCCTACGTAACGACTAAATAACAGCCACGAACCGCTAAATAACCACAAAAAAAGGAACGTAATACGAATACTGATAATTTGTCAAAGCAGAAATCTAAAGACACAGTGGATAGTAGAATTAAAAAAGGATTTCCAAATAGATAATAGGTCTAATAATAATTCTTCAAGGCTTTGATTCGTATCGTTTCACCGTGAATGCGCTGATATAATGCTTACGTAACAGGATTTTATTACGATCGTAATCGTGTTCGTCTTGCAAAATCGTTATCGTAAAAACCTACCAATCCATCGAACAAGTATAGATAAGAATATAGATACATATGTATATAGAATATACAGATAGATAAACGTAAAAAGCACAGACTCCTTACAGTCGATGCTCGCAAACCATATAACAGGTCCGCAGGATTTAAGCAATTTCCTCCTCGTAATAATCTTCTCTGCTAATCGCCATAAATATTCAATCTACTTACGTAACAACAATGCGTTATCCTCGTCGATCAACATCGGTGAACATCGAAGTATCGCGTAACGCAACGACGCATCCACCGTAAATTCAGCGTCGCTACCTTGCAGGGAAAACTACCTTGTAGCGATTAAAGTACGCGCAACTACGGGAGAAGAGGAACGATTGCGCGACCTTACAGGCGTATCGACGGTATCAAAAATCGAGAACGCGGATTATCTTCACGGGGATCGAGCTGGTTACCGCGGTATGGGAGAGAACAGCGCGAGAGAACAGACGAGTTAGCAAACATCGAGAAACGGTAATCCGAGTAATTTCGTTTCGCGTGGAGCGCGTGAAAAATTGGTAAAGACGGCAATCGGAGAGGATCGACAGGGAGGGCGACGTTTGAAAATTAGCGGAAAACGATTTCGACGAGTGTCGCCGTTCCTTTCCCTGTTTCCTGCCCGCGTCCGACGTCCGCTGATGGAACTGCGGATAATTATACGTCCTCTTTCCCTTTGGACGTTCCCGTAAGAACGTCAAAATGACGATTCTTTCTTCCCTTCGTTTCCGTCTTTCGAGAATCCCTCGGAACTCGCCGACAGAGGGAAGAGGAAAGTCGTCTTTTCCGAATTAACCGAGCTTTGGCGTTTTTAAAATTCGGTCTCGAACTCTGCGCAGAGTTTCGCGCGATACAAACGAAACGAGAAGACAACTTGTATCTCGGATTCGGTAATGAAAAAAAAAAAAATATCAAAATGGATCGTTAAAACGATCGCGAAGAAAACGATTAATTTATCGAACGATATCGACGATAACAACATCGAAGTTAAATCATTCGTTTAATCGATCAAACTCATTTTGCGTGTCGCATTTTCGCGTTTCGAACGGCAAGCTTGTTCGAAATCGTAGACTCGTAGTCTGGATTTCGACGTCTACTATCGTAGAACGAACCGACGCTACAGCGAACAAAATTTTAGAGCCAATTAAGTACATAGTTGGCTGCGTAGCGTTCCCAACTGTATTATTAGAGGTTCGGAAAAAATGCATCTGCCTAGTGCTCCACCCTGAACCGCACTAATTATTAGCGGATTATCGTCCTTCTATTATTGTGCATTTTACGTGAGATACAAAAGAGACACGGCAGCAGCTGTGCCTTGGCGATACCTTCGATCTTTTCCTTCCACCGACAGCTAATGATTTAATTTCGTTAACCCAAGGGTAGACGCTTCGGTTCGCTCAACCAACGTTTTCCTCGCGATTATCGCCTGGATAATGACGCTTTTTCCCGCAATGGCGATGCAAAAACGCGCACGCTCGTTTTCTGCGTTTGTTTAACCGTGTATGCGTGCAGCGCGTATCGTACGCGACGACGAGTAGCAGTTTCAATTAACAAGACGATTGCCGTGTTGTTTCTACGAGCGTTATCGTGGCTTATCGAAGTTACACGGGGATCGAGGAAAGAAAATATTTAGCGAACAAACGAACAAATAAAATTAAACAAAACAAAACAAAAGCTACGGAAAATAGATCGATATTCGAATAATACGGTGTATAAGAAAGTTTGGATGGAAACGACGGCCAGGCACGAACGAACGAACGATAGAAACTTGGACTTGGACTTGGACTTGGAATCTAAATGGAAACGGTTTATTGTTTGCTGTTGCAGGTCAAGCAGGAGTTAATCAATTGGGTGGTGTGTTTGTTAACGGGAGGCCATTGCCCGACTGCGTTCGACAAAGAATCGTACAGCTCGCTTTGGTCGGCGTCAGACCTTGCGATATCTCACGGCAACTCCTTGTGTCTCATGGATGCGTCTCGAAGATTCTCACGAGATTCTACGAGACGGGCAGCATTCGACCAGGAAGCATCGGAGGAAGCAAAACGAAAGTAAGCGTTTCAACGATCTCGGAACCGTTTTAAGTTACAAAGAGATGCAAAGTAACGCAAAGACGTGGAAAGGCTTCGTGTTTGTTATTTATCGTCGCGTTGCTTCGTGCGTTTCCTCGATGACGAACGCGATGGAACGCGATCGCGTTGCAACGCCTTAATTTTATTAATTTATTATTAATTTATGTAATCGCGACGCAACGTTATTAGCAAACTACGCGACATAAAGCTTACGCCCGAAACTACGAAATCTCGCGATCGATCGCTGCTTCCTCAAACGGCAAATGCCGGAAGTCCCTTGTTTTCGATTCGAGCGTGATAGCGAGCAACGATTCTTTCGCAAATATCTCGTTAATGTTTAGCAAAATATACGTACGCGTTGCGAAGCGTAATACAGGTATAGTAGGAAACGTGGCGTAAGTACAAGGTGTTAAGTTTTTAATCGATCCTTAAAATTTAGCGAGCAATCCAAATCATACGGTATTGTATAATATACGTTCTTTTAGCTTACGCGTTTTCGATAGATTCCGATAACGTCGTCGCTTTCGCCCTGCGATATCCCCATCGATTTCCCGTTTAAATACTCGCGTAAATTATGCCCGCGTCGTAAACTGCGGCATAACGCGGAGCCGGTACAAATAATTACCGACAATTACGCTTTAACTGGAAAACAACGTGACCATAAACCATCGCGCGTACCTCCGATCGACCTACCTCTGACGAAAGGCCCGCTCTTATTTATAAGAGCCTGCCGGTTAAAATTGTCGAGATTGTTAAAATTGTTAAAATTGTTAAAATTCCCGAGTGCGAACGGCTGAAAAATCGAATCCGTAAAGGACTGTACCGTAGTAGCTGGAAGGTTCAGCGGCGACTTAATAGAAAGAGTAAGAAGGGCGGATAAACAGAAAGGAGAAGAAGTTACCTACGGGACAAAAAGCGTAATAAACGCGAGGGAAGGATGTGTGTGCGTTATGGGGCGGTGACACTGATGAGAGGAGGCGAGACGCGGGCGCAAAAGTCGTCGGCCGGCAGCACGGCGCTGATGTGATTTTAAGTAAGGGCTGCGCGGAGCCGACAGCGCGCGCAATTATCCAAACACCTTGCAGCCGCGTGCATTTGCATAATTTCATGGCTTTGCACGGTCGGTTTTCTTGCGCTCGCGCCGCGATCACGGTGTCGCGCGCCGAATTATCGGCACGTT